CCCCGTTAGTTTATCTAGTTCTGCATAGTCCATCAGTTTCATTCTCCATTCTTCTAACGTCAGTAGTTGTTCCTGTTTCCATTTTTGGGCCAGTAGTATTCTCGCTGCAGTTACTGCGTATTGGAAAAGTTTACAGTCCTTTCTATTTATCTCATTTCCTACTATTCCTAAAAGAAAAGCCTGTGGTTTCTTAACAAATGTATATTTCAACATCTTTTTCAACTCATTATATATCAATTCCCAGAAACCCTTCACCTTCTTGCAATCCCACCACATATGGTAAAATGTTCCCTCTTTTTCTTTACATTTCCAACACTTGTTACATGTTTTATACATTTTTGCCAATTTTACGGGTGTAATATACCATCTATAAACCATTTTCATAACATTTTCCTTTAACGCAGTGCATGCCGTAAATTTTGTATTTTCATTCCATAATTTTATCCAGTCATTGAACTGTATATTATGACCCAAATCTCTGGCCCAGTGTATCATAACCGATTTAACTTCCTCGTCTTTTGTATACCATTCCAGCAACATTTTATACATTTTAGATAAAATTTTGTACTCATTATTTATTATTTCCATTTGAAATTTTGATTCTTTTTCATCAAAACCTCTTTCTTGAAAATCCTTTTTAAACATTTCATTAACCTGATAATAATGCAACCAATCATATACATGCTCCTTCACATCTTCATAAGGTTTCATTTTCCATTTTCCTCCTTTTACTATCAATTCTTTATATGTAATCCAGTTCCCCCTTAAATTGACTTTCTTAAGACTCATAACTTCTAACGGAGATAGCCAGTGGGGAATTCTTGCTTCTAATAAACTTTTATATCTCTCCCATATTTCTATGAGAGATCTTCTAAAGATGTGGTTTTCGAAACCTTTATGGATTTTTTTCTTCTCACACCATAAATATGGGTGCCAGCCAAATCTGTTATCAAAACCTTCTAAATCTAACAAATCAGTATTTTTTAACTTTATCCATTCCTTCAACCAACAGAGACATGAAGCTTCATAATATAATTTCAAGTCTGGCAGGGCGAAGCCTCCTCTTTCTTTCACATCCGTTAGTAACTTAAACTGAATTCTTGCCTTCTTACCCTGCCAGATATATCTTGAAATTGCTCTTTGCCATTCTTTAAAGACCACTGTCCCCTTGATTATTGGAATTGTCTGAAACAAAAACAACATCTTTGGCAGCACGCTCATCTTAATCGTTGAAATTCTCCCCCCAAAAGATAACTTCATTCGAACCCACACCTCTAGATCTTTCTTTATTCCCTTCCACACTGGCACATAGTTATTCTGAAACAAATCAAGATTCTTAAGGGTTAACCAGATTCCCAAATATTTAACTTTTTTCACCACTTCTATCCCTATTTGTTGTTGCATTGTTTCTGTCATACCTTGTTCCATATTTTTTGTAAGTATTTTGGGTTTTTTCTTATTTAATATAAACCCTGCCACTTGACCAAATTGTTCAACTTCTTCCAAAACTACTTTTGCACTTTCCAGCGGTTCTTCCACTGTTATTACCAGATCATCGGCAAAGGCATTTACTTTATACTGATTCTGGCCTACTGACACACCTTTTATTGCTTCATTTCTCCTTATTGAATTTAAGAAAATTTCCAGAACCATTATGAATAACAATGGTGAGAGAGGGCATCCTTGTCTCGTACCTTTTGATATTTTTAATTCTTCTGTAGTCATGTTGTTTACAATAAGCTTCGCTCTTTGTTCAGTATATATCGCTTTTATTCCATTAAAGAATTCTTTCCCCACTTCCATATATTCTAAATTTTTTAACATAAAGTCCCAAGAAATGTTATCAAAGGCCTTTTCTGCATCCACAAATATTAACGCAGCTTGTTTCTCATTCCTGGCTGTCAGATATTCTAACAAATTAATTATATTCCTTATATTATCTTTCATCTGTCTGCCAGGAAGGAAACCCGCCTGGTCTTTATGAATAATTTCTTGTAATATCTTTTTCAACCTCTTCGCTAAGATACTTGCAAAAATTTTGTAGTCTGTATTTAGCAATGAGATAGGCCTGTAATTTTTAACTTGAGTCAAATCAGAGTCTTGTTTTGGAATTAGTGTAATAAAAGCTTCTTTCCACGTCTCCGGCATTTCTCTATCCTGAAGAATATTGTTCATGACTTCTCTCAGCGGTGTAGACAGGATGTGCCTCATTTCTTTATAATAACTTGCTGTAAATCCATCTGGTCCTGGAGCTTTCCCTTTTTTCAACTCTTTTATGGCTTCTTTAATCTCTTCCATTTCTATAGGGGCGTTCAGCCTTTCTTTCTTTTCTGTCGGGATCTTCTGCACCTTTTTTTCTTTTAAAAATCTTTCTATTTTTCTCATGTTATTTTTCTCTTTATTATTATATAAATGTCTGTAAAAGTCCAAGAATCCTTTTCTGATACCTTTTGGATTAACTATCTCTTCTCCTTCTATGATGATTTTATTGATTGTATTCTGTTCCTTTCTTTTCTTAATTTGCCATGCCAGCCATTTGCCTGATTTATTTGCAAATTCAAAGTTCCTTTGTCGCAATTTTTTTATATTCTACTCCACTTCTTTATTTATTATCATAGCAAATTGTGTTTGCAGAGCTTTTATATTCTGTTTTATTTTCAAATTGTCTGGTTTCTCAATTAATTTTTGTTCATTGTCCATTATTTGTCTTAAAATTTCCTTCTTGCCTTTCTCTCTGCTTTTATTTTTTATTGAATTCTGTTGGATAAAAAATCCTCTCATCACCGCCTTGCTGGCATCCCACACTACATTCATTTTTGTACCCTTATTACAATTGTTCATAAAATACTCCGCCAGCTTCTTTTGTGCCCCCTCTAAAAAATTTTGATCATCTAGAAGGTAGTCATTAATTCTCCATCTGAATGATCTTTCTTCGTAACCTCTTATTTCACATTTGATTGGATTATGATCTGAGATCACTCTTGGTTGAATTTCAACTTGCATGATTCTTGGAGTTAATTCATTAGATACCCATATTTGATAGATTCGCAACATTGACTGATTCGATTCTGAATAAAACGTAAACTGTTTGTCAGGTGGATGTCTCAGTCTCCAAATGTCTATTAAGTTACAATTCTTAATCATTGAGAAAAAAAACTTTGGTAGTTTTCCCTCTTTACTCATTCCTGATGCTCTCAGTCTATCCATTTCCATTGACACTACTCCATTCATATCTCCCATTATTATAATCTTTTGGTCCATATAATCAAACAGTTTTTCTTCCAAATCTTTATAAAAATCAGTCTTGTTTCCATTTGGTGCATAGATCCCAACTGTTATTATTTTTTCACCTTGCCACTTGATCTGGATTGCAATTATTCTTCCTTCTTCATCTTTGAAAATTTGCTGAGCTTCAATTTTATTTCTTATATACAATACCACCCCTCTCTTTTTGTTTTTGTCTGACGATATAAATTCATTTCCTAGTCTTTTGTTGATCAAAACTCTTCTATGTCTTCTCGCCACATGTGTCTCTTGTAAACATATTATATCCAAATTTTCCTTTTTTAGATATTGTTCAATTTTATTCCGTTTTTTCCTATCGTTCATAGAATCATAGAATCATAGAATCATAGAGTTGGAAGAGACCACAAGGGCCATCGAGTCCAACCCCCTGCCAAGCAGGAAACACCATCAGAGCACTCCTGACATATGGTTGTCAAGCCTCTGCTTAAAGACCTCCAAAGAAGGAGACTCCACCACACTCCTGGGCAGCAAATTCCACTGTCGAACAGCTCTTACTGTCAGGAAGTTCTTCCTAATGTTTAGGTGGAATCTTCTTTCTTGTAGTTTGGATCCATTGCTCCGTGTCCGCTTCTCTGGAGCAGCAGAAAACAACCTTTCTCCCTCCTCTATGTGACATCCTTTTATATATTTGAACATGGCTATCATATCACCCCTTAACCTCCTCTTCTCCAGGCTAAACATGCCCAGCTCTCTTAGCCGTTCCTCATAAGGCATCGTTTCCAGGCCTTTGACCATTTTGGTTGCCCTCCTCTGGACACGTTCCAGTTTGTCAATGTCCTTTTTGAACTGTGGTGCCCAGAACTGGACACAGTACTCCAGGTGAGGTCTGACCAGAGCAGAATACAGTGGCACTATTACTTCCCTTGATCTAGATGCTATACTCCTATTGATGCAGCCCAGAATTGCATTGGCTTTTTAGCTGCCGCGTCACACTGTTGGCTCATGTCAAGTTTGTGGTCAACCAAGACTCCTAGATCCTTTTCACATGTACTGCTCTCAAGCCAGGTGTCCCCATCTTGTATTTGTGCCTCTCATTTTTTTGCCCAAGTGCAATACTTTACATTTCTCCCTGTTAAAATTCATCTTGTTTGTTTTGGCCCAGTTCTCTAATCTGTCAAGGTCGTTTTGAAGTGTGATCCTGTCCTCTGGGGTGTTAGCCACCCCTCCCAATTTGGTGTCATCTGCAAATTTGATCAGGATGCCCTTGAGTCCATCATCCAAGTCGTTGATAAAGATGTTGAATAAGACCGGGCCCAAGACAGAACCCTGTGGCACCCCACTAGTCACTCTTCTCCAGGATGAAGAGGAACCATTGATGAGCACCCTTTGGGTTCGGTCAGTCAGCCAGTTACAAATCCACTGAGTGGTAGCATAGTCAAGACCACATTTTACCAGCTTCTTTACAAGAATATCATGAGGCACCTTGTCAAATGCCTTGCTGAAATCAAGGTAGGCTACATCCACTGCGTTCCCTTCATCCACCAGGCTTGTAATTCTGTCAAAAAACGAGATCAGGTTAGTCTGACATGACTTATTTTTCAGAAATCCATGCTGACTATTGGTGTTCATCCCATTAATATTCCAATTCCATAATCTTAACGCCATCTTGGTATCCTAATTAATTAAATTTTATTTAAAATTTTATAATCTTTCTTCTTCTTCTTCTTCTTCTTCTTCTTCTTCTTCTTCTTCTTCTGTGTTTCTTCCATCTTCTTCTTCTCCCTCTCCCAATCCACTTTCCCCCGTAGCTCCTGCTCCTGCTGCTGCACCTCTTATTTCTTCCTCTTCTGGTCTTAATTCCTTGTATCTTCTCAGAAACTTGCTTGCTTCCTCTGAGCTTGTGTGTTTGTGTTTCTTACTTTCATAGAAAAAAGAGATCCCCTCTGGAAATTCCCACTTGAATTCTATTTTGTTCTTCTTTAAAATTTGCACCAATGGTTTATATGGATCTCTCCGTTTCAACAGTCTGATTGGTATATCTTTAAAAATAATTATATAATTCCCATCAATATTCAATCTTTTCTCTCTGTTCTTCTGCAAGATCATATTTCTCATTTCTCTGTCCTTGAATATAATTAGACAGTCTCCCGGAGATTTCCTTGTCTTAGTTGTTCTTGCCTTCATTCTAAATGCGTTTTGCACTGACATTTTGGATTTGGAAGGTTTCAATAATGTATTTGGATGGCATGCATATTTATGGTATGATAAGGTCAAAGCACACAAAGCATTTAAAAACCACATTGTCAGGAAAGCATTATGTAATGTTTGGATTAGATATAAGGATTTGCTAGAAAATAAAACCCCAAGGTGGCTGTCACCAATGGAAGCGAAAGCCTTGAAAAGGGTCAATATGGAGGTCAAATGGCCGAAATATTGGGAAATTTTGGAACAAGACGGAGATAGACTGAAATTGCAGAGTTTTGAAAAATTAAAAACAAAGTGCGAGACTGGCTTCATTATTATCAAATAATGGAGGCATTTAAATTAGACAGGAAAATTGGCTTCCAGGTGGAAAAATCAAAATTAGAAATAGAACTGATAGAACCCAATACGAAGAATTTGACAAGAATGTATAACTTGCTGCTGAAATGGAATACTCAGGATGAAACGGTAAAATCGGCTATGATTAAATGGGCACAGGACATTGGACATAACATTATGTTTGCTGACTGGGAACAGTTATGGACCACTAGGTATGAAATTTACGGCATGTAATGCCTTAAGAGAGAATATTATGAAAATGATATACAGGTGGTACATAACCCCAGTCAAGCTTGCAAAAATCTATCACTTGCCCGATAACAAATGTTGGAAATGTAAAGAAACCGAAGGTACATTCTTTCACCTTTGGTGGACGTGCCCAAATATTAAGGCTTTCTGGGAAATGATATATAATGAATTAAAAAGGTATTTAAGTATACCTTCCATAAGAAACCAGAGGCCTTTCTCCTGGGCATAGTGGGCCAAATGGTGTTAAAAAGGATAGAACTTTCTTTATGTATGCAACAACAGCAGCAAGAATACTCATCGCAAAGTATTGGAAGACACAAGAACTTCCCACGCTGGAGGAATGGCAGATGAAACTTATGGACTATATGGAATTGGCAGAAATGACTGGTAGAATCCGTGACCAGGGAGAAGAGTCGATGGAGGAAGATTGGAAGAAATTCAAAGACTATCTTCAGAAACATTGCAAAATTAAGGAATGTTAGAGTGATGTTGGACTGAAAATAAGTGGTTTCCAGCTGCACAAGTTAAAGTTAATGATAGACTAAGATTAAAGATCAAGATTAAAGATGTTTAAAGAAATGGAAATTTGATATTAAAAGGGAAAATTTTAATGTTATATGATATTAAGATCAAGGATTAGGTTTAAAGAAGTTGAAGTTATATATTTTAATATTTTATTAAATTAAAGATTGGGATTAAAAAAGTGGAAAAGAAACTGCTGGACAAATAATTTGGATTGGAATACAAAAGAGGGAGGTATGAGGAAGTCCAGAAAATAAGTAATCTAAAAATGGAAATGGAAAAGAGAGTTTGTTTTTAATTGTTACGTTTTTTGTTTTTTATTGTTGAGTTTTGTATTGCTTTTTGTGTGTGTTGTTTCTTTGTTGTTTAAAACTTTTATAAAAATTATTTAAAAAAAAAAAGAAAAAGAAATCTGGCTGGAACCTCCTTGAATACAATAATTGCCTTCCCATCAATGCATACGTTTTTATTATAATTTAATCTCAGTATCTCATTCCTCATGTCCATAAGGTTGAACATAACCGGTACATCCCCAGCAATTTCTTCCCTCTTGCTCTGGCAGATTTTACCTTTATTCGAAATGCATTTGCTATTGTATAGCCTATCTCCTCTTTCCTCATGTCTAGCCAGTTTGCTAATTCTTTAATTAATTTAGCTCTTATATTTTCGTTTATCCCCTCAGGAATACCTCTGAATTTCAAATTCAACTGTTTCTGCCTCATTTCTAGCATTGACATATTATCCAGTAGTTCTTCTTGTGTTTTACTTATGTCCTTTATTTCTCCTCTGATCCTATCTGTCTCCTTTTTACTTTCCTTTAGATCTTTCTGAGCCCTTTTCATTGACTCTTCCAACACTTTAGATCTTACCGTTAAGTCCTTTACTTTACCTGTCAGTTCTCCCACCACCCCCTCCAGTTTCTTATCTAATGTATCCTGAACTTCTAACAATTTCTCAATATATTGTTCATTTTGTTTAAACTCCTTTCTTATTTCAACCATCAACGCATCATAGTCCTTTATCTCTTTCCCATTCTTGCCATTCTCCTGTCTAGATGGTCTTCTTTCTCCTGGTGTTCCCAATCTTTTCTTCATTCTGTCACAATTGCTTAATCAGATATTTATTTACTAATGTTATTCTAATTTCCACCCCTAGGGGTCGCAAATTAATGTATACTGTTTTTCAAATTTCCCAATTGCAGTCCCCTCTTTCCCCACACAGTGGCAGCAGTTCCTGTAAATTCAATAAAAATCCTTCCTTAAGTAAAGTTACTTTCCATTTCTTTGTCCTTCAAATGGAATTTCCCCTTTCACGTGGCTGGAGGACTAGACTGGGAGACTGCCATAGAGTGTCAGGAAGAAAGGCACAAAAAGTAAAGAAGGGGATGAAACCTCCAAAACACGGAGAGAGCAGAAAGGGAGGGAGGGAGGGAGAGCAGATAAAAAAGAGAGAAGGGGTGGGAAATAAGGGTGGGGGAAGGGATACACGAGGGGCGATAGAGTAAGGAAAGGGAGGGAAAAGATCAGGAAAGAAGAAGAGGGGGGAGAGGGGGGAAAACAGGAGTAAGAAGTAAAGATAAAAATAAAAGTCAAAGACTTATTCTTCGTGTTGTACTCCAAATACAAAATCTTCTTTTTCCGGTTCCTTATCAGCTTAATCCATAAATTCTCCACTCAAGACCGATAATCAAGCATTATAAAGCGTACCGTTTATCTCCTCCCCCACATAGAGGGCGAAAAAAGCAAAGGAGAGGCTCAGATAGAACTTCAGCAGATATTCACAGCAATTCACAGCAATCCCCAAGTCTCTTCTTTCTTGCTCCTGCAAACGTACCGACTGTGACTCCAACATAGACTTCTGCCCAACCTCTTTACAAACAGCAGGAAAAAAGCAGAGTTCACGGGTGTTCACTGGTGGGCATTTTAAGCTCACTCTCCGACCACTGGCACAGGACGCTTCAACCAAGACGATACAAAGAAGTTTTGCCTCCCCTTCTATGCCTCTCTGTTGTTTCCCCACAAATCGTTACCTCGGAACATAGTAACCAAGGATTTTCTGCGAACCTCACTTGGCGGCTGCTTTCTTACTTTCAGTCCTCTCTCAGTCTTCCGCCAGACGCCATTTTCTCCTTACCGCTGGGACGGACTCCCTTTTTTCGCCCTCAGCACTCCGAATCTTGTTAATTTTCTTTTGTAAAATCCGCAGATAATAACTGCTTTAGTTTTAGTCCAGATTTGTTTTCTTTGTTTGGAAGCTGGCCGCTTTCAGTCGAAGCTTGAGACTGCACAGCGTGGGGTCTGCTGCTTCCCCTCGGTGCCTGCAGCTCAATCCCGTCCCCAAGCTTCAGTTTAGCTTTAAAGCCTGTGAAACAGGAGAGAACGTCCAGGCTCTGCCAGGTACTCTGCCCCCCAAGATACTCCTCTCAGGGTATGGAGGTCCTCTAAAGCCCCCGCACTGCTCGAGACCCCCCTGAGGGTTGCCTCGCGCTTCTTCCCTGATCGCAGCTCAACCGGAAGCCCCCATCCACCTCAATCTCTTAATGAATCACCTGCACAGTCCCATTGGCCTCAGGAGGTCCATACGGACGATTATGTGAGACCCAGGTCTACATCTTTTCCAGGGACTGTGGCCTGGGTCAGTCAGAGAATTAGTGACAAGGCTTGGTGCTTGGCGTCAGCTGAATGGGTGCTCAGGGAAGCTCCTGTTCTTGGAGATGGACCTCTGTCTACATGCCTCACATCGCATGGAGAGAGCAGGAGAAGCGGAAGGAAAGCAGCTGGCAAATGGGAATCCCAGACGGAAACACCCACCCTAATCGTTCTTTTTAATGATGACGTGCTGCCTGATCTCGTGCCC